GCATTCGTACACCAGCGTTTTTTAACACTACCTCATAGCGCTGTGGCGAACCTACCCTCCAAATACGAACTATGGACTACTCTCGAGCCTTCACAAGGCCCCCATCCTTGACCTCCAGTGGTCCCTCTACTCCCCCATTCTCTACACCGTATCGGCGGACCACCTACTCACGATGACGGACGTAACCACCGGTCAACGTGTCAGGAAAATACGCGCCCATAGAGGCATCATCAACTCACTTGACCGGACGATGGCAGGTGGCGCTGGGATCGAGCTCGTCGCGACAGGTTCTGATGACGGGACGGTCAGGATATGGGAGGGGGGCGAAGAAGGTGGAAAGCAGAGTGTTGCCATATTTGAAGTGGGATGCCCTGTGACATCTGTTTGCTGGAGCGCGGACGGACAGAACGTGTATATTGGCGCATTGGACAATGAGATTCACGTGCGTGTTCTTCTTTTCCTTATCTTTTTTTTTTACGCCTTGTCTTTCCGTGGCTTATGTGTTTGTCTATTGTGGCGGAACTGATATTTCTTACTAGGTGTATGACGTACGGAAAGGCGAACAAGTATACACCCTCACTGGGCATGCTGATACGCCCACCTCCTTGTCACTCTCACCAAATGGGTCCTATCTACTCTCGCCTTCCTTCTCTTCACACACGATTATACACGACGTACGGCCTTTCTCACCCTCCCCTTCGCGTATACATCGGGTCCTCCAAGGAGCGCCTGCAGGTTTCGAAAACACATTGCTGAAAGGTGCGTGGAGCAAAGATGATGGCGGGCGGCGCGTTGCAGTGGGTGGCGCAGACAGAATGGTCTGCATTTGGGACGTTGAGAGCGGGAAAGTGTCGTACAAGGTAGCACTGCCTCCTAGCATTCAAAAAAACATCATTTTCTCACTTTTTATCTTTAGCTGCCTGGGCATAAAGGCACCGTCACGTCTGTAGACTTCCACCCGAAGGAACCTATCAGTATGTCTACGTTTCGTCGTAGAGTCGTTTCTTACTGATGTGCTCTTGTTCGCAGTTCTGACCAGCAGCAAAGATGGTACAATGTTGATGGGAGAGATTGAGCAGAGCATGATTATTTAATTTTACCCCGTTGTACCTGGTTCATCTGGAATGCTCACTCTCTGAATCTGCTGATCAACATTCGTTTAGACCAGCCGGAAGAGAGACGACTTTCGAAGACGGATGGGACTCGACAGTAAGTGACGTTTCAACCACTCGATCAGATTTCAAGTTTGCCTATCGTACAAATGTGTGCGCGCCTCATGCGGAATCAAACATGGTCAAACTCATTCAGGAAACCCTCCTGGACGCGAACCACTTTCTTGACGTGTTCAATTGACAGGGCCTCGCGTCTAAAGCGTCATGTGAGAACGGGTACAATGGCATCTGGGACGACGTACTTGGAAAGAGCCAGCGCTTGAGCAGTCCTGACAATGTTCTTGATCGTTCGTCCTGCTCAGTGTTAAGTGACGAGTCCAGTTATCGGACTTCAAAGATGAAAACTCACCATTGAAAGGTTTCAGAGATAATTCATGCAAATCCGCTTCCGAAGCAACTTCCTTGTTGCCCTCACCAACGACCTCGATGAAAGAGTTGGGAGTATCTCGGCCGCTTTTCTGATCCTCAGCGGCACTTACGGTCAGCTCGAGGAACTTCTTCCACACCACAAAGCGAGCTGGAGCATCAAGTTCTGGGTACTTGATGGCTGGTTCCAAGCAAATGTTCACACAAATGCTAGATGGACACGAAATGCCCGAACTCACCGATCGAAAAGCGCGACAAGAACGCCCTGTCGAAGGTCTTGATTCGGTTTGTCGTCAAAAAGAGTACCCCACGATGATACTCGAAGAGACGAAGAGCCACGGAAACAAGTGCATTGCGTTCCACCTCCGTTAAAGTGAGTCAACCTCTTCGCACGTCTGCGCATCGGCAACCTACCTCGTGGAGACTCCTTTCTTCCAGAAACACGTCTGCTTCGTCGATCAGCAAGACGGCGTCCCATGCCGTCGCAAGCTACGCAGAGGAAAATCATCAAATCAACAACAGCAGGAAGTTGCAGTCGCCCACCTTGAGAATCGGGGTCAACTTCGTCTCGAGTTCATCAGGCCTTGTCGAAAGCTCTAAAGAATTGATTGTGTAGAGGGGTCGCTTTAAAAATTCAGCAACTGCTTCTGCTGTCAACGTCTTGCCAGTGCCGGGTGGACCGTGTAGAACCACAATCTAAGATTGTGGAGGTTTGATAGGTCCTACAAAACTGTTTATTACTCCATGATGGCGACTTACCAAGCCTCCTCCCTTGCCACTTATCACATCACTGATGATCTTTCCCGAAGTGTTAGAGTTGACAGTGGCCGATGTGAGCGATTGTACAAGCTCCTGTTAGAAAATGAATAGGCATTCGTTCAATCGTTCTGATATGGTGACAGACCTTGGTGTCCGGCTCGAGAACCAGGTGCTCCCAAGAATTTTCATCGAAGGTAACGTCCTCAATCTCATCTACGAGGAATCTGCTCCATTGCTTGTTTTCGCTTGTAAGCATCCCAAAAGAATCAAAGCACTAACGGCTTACTTTCCTGTGCAAGTCAAAGCCGTAGACGATGCTCTCCAACAGGACTAATTGATCGTCACAAAGTTGCGGAATGTTTTGGTTTCTAGAGTTTAAGAGTCAAGGGAACTTAAACATAGAATAGACCTTCAAACACTTACACAGGACGTGTATAGCCGGTATAGCGATTGTTATAGGCTTGGCAGTCGACAATAATTCTCCTCTGCCAATTGATCAGAGCATTGTGGGTCGCATCCATGCCAGTGACTCACGCCTTGATCTGTGTTGGTAGGTATTTGGTGGTTGCCGTGATATGGATGGATTCACAACTCACATGTACGATAGTGAACACCAGACAAGGTCGCGTAACATCGGCCACGCCCTAGCCACGCTCATCAGCAAACAAATCAAGTCTTCGAGTCGCTTCAAACTGTACCTCCTCTATTTCTGGAGTCATTGCCCACCAGGGCAGCTGCGTGAGTTCGGTTGTTCCCTGGTATAAGGTATATCAGCACAGTGTGATTGAGTAGGGTACGGAATAGCGACATCGTAGGGGTCAACACGCTTTTCAATCTTGTAGGAAGTGTATTCCGTCCCATCCCAGGATAATGCTTTCCCTCCAATCGAAAAGTGACTGTCAGTCGGTCCGTCAACGGGTCATCTGCAACAAAACACGACGTCTCACTTGACACTTGTATAGCGGGTCGAGGTCACGTCGAAGGCTATCTAGGGATACTTGTGAGCATTCAGGCTGACATTGTAACGAGTCTCAGTACAGGAAGACCCTCGTCATCTTCGGTGTAAATCCTCTGGCCCGGTCGGAAGTGGAAGATGAGGAGATCATGGGCAATACGGCCATGGGAAACTTGCAGAGCAAGTTGTTCTGCGCTGATGGATATGAGTAGGAGGTGTGTGTCCTGGTTCAGGCATGGCTTACAGAGGCCTATACTCTTCTTCCATGAGCCTTAAGAGTGCACCAAGATGCTCTACTAAATCCGTTAGGTAGTTCAACGGGTAATCATTGTCATCTGAGGTCTGAAATAAACAATTTGGCACATATCTGGAAGGTCATGACCCACGGAGATCAACGTCGACACAGCCCAACGAATGGGCTGCCTTTCTGATTTGATCAAGGGCGTGTGGCGAATCGAGGGCCGAATGTGCCTCCTCGAGACGACGTTTGAAGTCATCGATAAATAGGAAGGACGACCGAATAGGATATGCAGGTTCAGCATTGAAAAATTCACCGCCAATGGCGGTTCTGAGTGGAGCTAAAATTAAAAAAAGACTTATGATCGCATTTTGGAGCTCACCGTAAGAAACTGATAAGAGGCTTGCTGAAGTTACTGAGGATCGTCTTCGGCTTGTCTGTTTGGACTTTATTAAGTCATCTATTAGACAGTCGTGATATACCCATATTACCTTTCGCCCTTTTGTATCTAACATCGACATAGAAGTAGTTCTGTAGGTCTGTCCTGGGGGGCATAATTTTTCTGGAAGAGGGATCATAGGGGACCCAATCGTATTCTTTGCTGTTCCTGCAGCGATAATCGATCAGCCATGGGTGAACGAATCATTATGAGAGAAAAAGAGACCATATAAGCCAGCGCCGAAGATAATGATCTCCAGCCTCTTCTGTGTTGAGAACAGCTGCCTGTTCGACTGCGGGGGTCTCAGTGGGCTTAGCAGCTAAAGACGTTTTGTCTACACCGGACTGTGGCAGCTCTGAAGTATCGGAGTACGTATCGGAGTGCGTGTTTGCGCGGGAGTCGTTGTCAGAGTCGGACATGGTCGATTTTGATGGAAGAAGGGAAAGTACTGAGGAACGAAAGCAAGCCTGGGACCCTTTTTATACAGACATTGAGGGATGGTAGGTCCCAACATGTGACGAACGCATGTCCAAACATCAAAACTGGGATCTGGATTTGAGATCAGAGAAGTAGGAAACGGGACCCACCTACATGGCACATGTTAGCCTAGGGGCGCCTCATGCTGTTGAGATAACATTAATCCTTTCACCTATCCGAACGATGTCTGACTCACAGTCCCTCTGTACATGGAAATGTAAAAATCGGTAAGAAGCATTGAGGGCAAGCATGCGATATGTAATAACCAACTAAAGAGTCGAGTCATATTCAGAACTGTCCCTGAAACAGAGTCAGGGAGAAGATATTCGCCTCGCCAGACTGAGTCAGGCTCTACATATAAACAGGAGGGAGAAGGATTCACCTTGTTCAACTAATGCTCACGATCCAGAAAGGCGGTGATCGTTACGTGGTGCCTCATTGGAGATAGCTCAACAATTGAATCAAAAACATCAGCTACACAATCGGATTTCAACAGCCTGCAGGACTTTCAGTTTGTGTGTGATGTCAACCACTTACTGCCGTCATTCGACAAGCAACTACTTACTTCGAGGGATTCAACCACGATAAAAAAAATGACCACCGCAGGGGTCGAACCTGCAATCTCCTGATTGTCTGATGCTGACCTAAGCACCTTCGTAGTCAGACGCGATGCCATTTCGCCAGGCGGCCTTATTTGTGAAGAGCGAGATACCGCCTCATGAACAACGCATAGGTGTGGTCGCCACTTCTGGTCAAAACTCCAATTCATTGATGTGGTTTGATTCCGTAGGGGTTCTGAGCTCCTCGGAATCTTCACTCTAGACTAGCCCTTTGGTTTTAGTCTGATGGGCAACAGGCCTACCAAAGGTCGACGCGGTGATCTCTCTTGCTTTCTTCTCCTCCGAATCACTTCCCCCAGGTAGCTAGGCTGGGCGTAAATTGTTCTTTGACGGATTCTGAAGGGTGGCGTCCTACTTGACCGCCTTAATTTGCATTTTGTGCTTTAAGCCAGCTTGACTGGATGCTGGCTGGCTCCGTGTCCGCTACTCCGCGTCCGCGACCTCCAGCTAGGTCTCGGCGGACCTCATCTCACGTCAAGTCCTCTCCTCCTCCTTACCGTGCAACTAGCCATTCGAATTTGCCTGAAAATTCCGTTGGCTCTGTTCGCAGCCAAAGCGAACTGAATCGTTTCACTCTTCTCTCGCAATCAGACCAATGGACGGAACGATCAAAGGAAGAGCTCTCCGATCTCCTCCACAAGGCCGACGAGCTTATAAAGGATCGGGAACATGGTGTGCTTTGATTCGTTGATTTCTCGAGACGTTCCTGTGTAACCATCGGACCTGATCTAGAGCTGGATTTCACGACGGCGGTGTGCAAAAGCCTGTACGAGAATAACCTTGAATTGAAGAACAGACACAAGGCCTTGCTAGCTCGCTTGCCCACTTCCCCGGCCTCGTCTCCTGCAGGATCGTCCGCCGTATCTCCAACGTCTCCGGACTCCAGATCACCACAATCGCCCCATTTCTACAGCGCGAACGTTTCTCGCACGTCCTCCAATGAGAGCCTGCACGCTTCTCGAGCTAAGCGACATCATCGTCGCGTCTCTGTTTCGCCTTCAGACCTGGCTTTATTATCGGATCAGAACGCTGAACTCCTCGCTAAGCTTGAGAAGCTTGAAGCGGAAACTACACAAGCCGATCAAGCTGGCCGTAAGAAGCTTCGCAGTCTGGAGAAAGAAATCCAGGGACTTCGAGAGGAGCTCGAGAGAACGCGTGCAAAAAGTGACGAGCTCGAAGAAAAGGAAAAAGCTAGGGTAGCAAGTGGCACTTTGAATGATCGGGAAGAAGAGGTGTCGAGGAAAAAGAGAGAGAGAGAGGAGAGATTTCGTGCGCTCAGGGCCAAGACTGAGAGTGACGCTGCCACCACTGAAGTTCGCGATTTCGCTCCTAGCAATGCTCTTTCCGCTCAATCAAATGTCATTGGGCTGGGACGCCCTTCCAGCTTCCAACGTCGTCGGCACATATCTGAAGCTGTCTTCCGTCCACTACGCTCCCAAGACGATGTAATTCCTGAGCGACCGAGAAGGGTCTCACTACAAAACGGTCTCATTCGCTCAGCCTCGGAACCGAACCAATTGCTATTCCCTGTTACTGCACCTCCAACAAATTTAACACACGAATACGCTTTAGTTTCGCAGCTCCTGCTGAAAATACGGGAGCTTGAGGAGACGAACGCCCAGATCACGGAGCAACAAGTGAAGACCGCTGCTCAATTGCAACAAGTGCAACAAGACGCAGCCAGTATTCGCCTCGCATACGAGAGTTTGGGTGATGGTGATGGCGTCGAATGGGTAACAGAAGAAGGTGGTGGTAGTCCAGGCACAGACAACGATGAGGCCGAGATAACCATCCGATTTGCAAGTCTACGTCGCTCCCTGTCAGCAGACCCATCCGCTGCGTTTGCAAGTGAAATCGATGCAGACATGCAGAGTAGCTTGAAGCATGCAGCGATCCCGGATCATATCCCTGTCTTCTCGCATATGAAGGCACGGAGATCAGTTGTTGGATTGTTTGACTCACCTCACGAAAGTTTTGGGACGTCCAATTCGTCGACTGAGCAAGGGGCACTGTCAATCGTTTCACTCACAATTCCCGGGTTACCCCCTGTTCCATTCGTTCCTCAGCCAAGTAATACATCCACGACGCCATCTACATCTCGCTCTCCATCACCGTTCCTGGACTCAAGTTCACTTAGCGTAACGTTTCCTGTTGTCGGAGATGTTCCTCATCGACGGACTCTCGATAGCGAGTTGTGTGCCGCTTTCGATGGAACTTGGGAGGATTCTTCAGACAGCCATCACTTCCGAACGTCAAGCCTTATTAACCTAACACCGTCCCAGTATGAGAACGTCACGGAATCATTCTCCAAAACTGATGATCCACATTCCCCCGGCCCGCCGATTTTGGAAGCGGAGAAATCTACCGACGCGTTCGCATCTGCCTTTCCATCCCAAGGAAGTGCTCAGGTTGACATTGGGATTGACCGGGAAGACCAGAGCAACGCACTCACAGTGCCCCTTCAGGTGTCTTACGAAACAGCAGATGACAAAAAGCGTCGGAAATCACAAACTATACGAATGCGCACCACTCGCTGGAACGAAGGTCGTTTTGGCGGGACCCTTCTACCTTCGGAGAAGTGTAGTAGCATCGACATCAGCCGGCCATCCACACCTATTCCTGAGCGACTCGCCAACGCGTTTGAAGCTGTCGTCGACACCATCAAACGGAGTAAGAGCGACATGGAGTCATCCCCTCCGGACACAACACGAGATGACCAATCCAACTCTGCAGGCAATACTTCTGTCGTTCTTCATCCCCAGCGCCCGCGGCAAGGCGGTATAGCTGCGTTTGTGTTAGAAATATGGCTCTGGCTGCAATTTGTCATCATCATCGTTGTATTTATCTGGGCCATGGCAAAACGAGGACCGAAGAGCGTTTTGGAAGAGGCGGGGAGAAGGAGGATTGAATCCTCGAAGGCAGTTCGATAACTCACATCAGACATTGCATCTACTTGGATTTCTGGTCCGCCATTAGCTGGGACACGCGTAGCATAAACTGTATTCGGTATTGACATGTGCTAATCTAATTGCTTATGCCGTCTTCTGAATCATTTACTATGGCGGGGGAGTGCACATAAATCCTCCAAAACCGGGTAGTCGAGCAAAGAATCTCTGGGGGAACAATGAAATAGCAGATTCTCAAAAAAATCAGGCAATTTCTTCCTCTGATGGACAGGGACCTCCAATCACTTCAAGAACTTGCAAAGGAGGGAAGAGTTTTACATCCATGTTAGGCTGGCCGTCGAAAAAGCGAGATGTAGCCAGCCGCTCCTCAACAAGTCTCCTTAACGCTTGAATGGAGACGTTGAGACAATCAAGGATGAAAAGTTCGGAAAGATATGGGAAAATGATGTTCTCGTCCGGATTGTCCATGAAACCGTCAGACAGCGCTGCGAGGAAAACATCGTCGACACATGCGCAATCGTAGAGACAGAGGATCGTGCCGTTCCAGTCCACGAGAGCCACAGCCAGTGATTCCCCATCTGTGAAAGCAGAGTTCATTCACAATGAACCTAGGGATTGAACTGAGTGGACAATGTGATATAGTTACACAGTCAACTCCAGCAAGAAGCGTGCGATGCAGTACCGCAACAAATTCGTCTTGCAGGTTGTCGAGAACCAATTTTTGAGGTTCCTAGGTGCTTTCAACTTCGGGTGGGTCGGTGACGACGAGGTGCAAATTTCTGAGACTGACGGAGAAGACGTCGGAAGTCGCGAGTGGCTGGATCAGATGAGCGATAGTCAACCCCGGAGGATGTCCCATACGTGCGTCATAGTTGAATAGCGTGTTTTCACGCAGGCTCAGGCATCGCGAAGGCCTCCAGTGTAGAGCAAATAGCGAGATGCTCTCACCAGCCAGCGAGTATGGAGGTTGAGACTTTGAAATTGCCATGGCCCCGAGATATCGCGCGGCAATGGGTTACTTCCATTGTACTGAGCACACTGAATATCCAGCTTCTCGACTACTAGAGATATTCATCGACATGCGGAAGTGACGAGCCATACACGACGCTGAAACACAATCACCGACACCTGTAAAGGTTTGGGACCAGGGCTTTCATCACTATCTGGACATGTGGTTACTCGACGACATCTTGCCTCAACTGAGGGACAATATGGACGTCCAGAGGCAGATCACGAGACCACTGGACGTGAGAGGGAAATTCCGTCAGCGTAGAGCTGTGGGGGTCCAAGGCGACAACAAGTCGCGTCCAGAATTGAGGTACCATGGACATGATGGCGCGCCAACGAGGACTGACGAATGCCAGGTTATAAGGGAAGTGGCCTGATTCTGCCGACAACTCGTCAGCGTCATGTTTCCACACCGGCCTGTCTGATCGTGCTTCCAGACGAAGCTCTTCATAGAAAACTTGGCGAAATATCCATAGAAGCAACTCTGCTGGCATAGACGCAGTGGAAGCTTTGGACCCACGTCCGACAAGAGCTGATGGAGAAGACATAATGCCGGTTCAATGGATGCTACCGTGGCCGAGCTCAAGTGAAGCGGGCGATTGAAGTCGCGGAAGTCACGTGAAGCTACACCAGTAGTCCGTCCAAGATTCTGTCCAAGCGTCTTTACAAAATGTCTTTGTCGTCCTCATCTTCATCGCCATCTGCCAGTCCTCCCGCGCAAAGAAAAAGAAAACTTGATTCCGATGAAGAGACCAGCTCAGATGAACACGAGAGTCCAAATGTGAAGGATGAATCTGCCCCTGCCCCAGATCAAACCGTCTTATCCCATGCCGAACGAAGAAGACAGAAGAAAAAAGAACTCAATGTCCAAAAACCATTCAAGAAACGCAAGCTCAGTGATGGCACAGCCGTCAAAAGCACTTCCACATCCAAACCTACTACAGACAAAACGAAACCTAAACGCCAAAACTCGGTATGGGTGGGCAATTTATCATTCTGGACGACGCAGGACGCGTTGAGAGGGTTTTTTGACGGTGTTGGTGAGATGACGCGCGTACACATGCCAATGCGGCCTGGATCGAAAAGCGAGAATCTGGGGTTAGTTGAACACGTGGGCGTTCATCGTGTCATGAGCTGACAGGGACTTTAGCTTTGC